AATTGTTGAAACTGTGCCTTTTCCTGAAATAATTGTTGACCACCCAGAACCATTTTGTACTGTCTACGTCAGTTAATTTCGTATGTGAGAATCTTAAGCGCGTTTGAGAGAAGGATGTCCAAAATACTTTGAATTTTCGTGAATATGACGGGATTGGAAATCGTCCCTCTCGCACTGAGGTCCGAGGCCCACTAAAACTATTAATATTTTATTTAAATAGACATTCTATTTACATGTAGTTGAAATCGTCGATCCTTAGATTTGAAATTAACTTTTTAAACGATCCGAACTGAACAATCAACACATTTTGAACTTCAGTTGCTTCGCTATCTTTTGGTAAGTTTTTTTTTAGTTTTTACTTCTCGATCGGCATCGAAACATTTCCAAGACTCAGTTGGGAATGCATTGCAGGGACTAACAAATGTTATCTTATTCCCTCGGTTTGAGATTTTAGACCACAGATCAAAAAGAATACACACTTTTAATCTACTCTTAACCGGTGATTTAGATATAAAAAATGCTAAGCATGCTTTATACAAATAAAAATAATGCTCCCAACGTATTATTTGACACTACTGTAATAAATCGGCGATCATGTTACAGTTGTTGTCCCGCTGTCTTTAGTAGCTTAATTTCTACTTTCTTCTAATTCTCGGTACTAAACATCTCTAGAATTAAGTAGAGATTCGTGGAAACTAAACAAATTGATCAAACTACCTCAACTTCACGCCGATCCATTGTCCGATAGACCGGACGTTAAGGTCCATAGTTTGGCTGGACAGACATGCAAAATAGACGGGCGCATACATTGTAGGACCACCAGACTCGTACTGTCATTTCCATATTCAAGTGGTCCTAGACCGCGAAGAGCGCCCACCCAGTCCAAGTCCAACTCTTCAACCTTTATATACATTACACTCAACTGATACGTCCGGTAAATACTTAGACTTTATTACGGGTTTCAAGGACACATACGTCTAAAAGCGTAAAAAACATACTAGAATAGCAACATGGTGTATATCCAAAGTCAATGTCTCAACCGATCATTTTCAAGCATCGAAATATCAATGAAAAGCCACAAATCCCTTTGGGATATATCACTACTTATATACAGTATCCTATCAATATCCAAAGTCACTGCATTTACAATGTTTCTTAAAATATCAGGTCCAATACTGTATAGTTCATTATTTTATTTTTCTAGCCTATCTACTCTAGTGGCATTTATAAACGTTTTTTGTAAGAAACGCACCAAACCCTGGTCTTGTTACTATCTAACGTCGACCTATTAGAACGCATAATTAATTGATAGTCAAATGACAAATGACATCTGTGTCTGGTAACGATCTCGCTTGGAATTGAACCAGCGACCTTCAGATTTGAAGGAAGACACTATAACCACACTATAATTTTAGATTTATGCCGATGATTTTTGCCCTTAAATACGACGTACAATAATCCGGATGTCTGAAGGCACCACCAAACGACCTTGTCAACACCAAAGTATGTTTTGATAAATTAGAAACTGGATCCAAATCTAATCGAATATGCGGTTTTATATTTAAACTTCTGAAGGGTGGCCAGTTTTTAATTCGTGACCATATTTGAAGGGGTTCAGCTTTATAAACGTCATCTATCTGTGCCTGCTGGTGTCTGCCTGCATGCCGTTTTCGATCTCTATCTTTATCTCCTTGAGCTCAGAGAATAAGTAGACGGAAAAGGTATCTAGGCCTATTTATATTTATTTAATGAAATATATTTCGACGGCAGCAGGCACAGCTACTTTTAAAAGATTTAACAAAACAATTCTACTGACTAACAACAAATAGGACAACAATCTAACAGTCAATAGAATACAACAAATCAACAAGTAATGAAATATCATAAAACATAAAACTCTACAAAAGTAAATAATAAATGGTGACTGAACGACATACAACAAAATATTTGAATACAACTAATTCAAAGATCCTAGATTCTAATTGACAGGTCACTGCTCACCTAGGATAGAAAGGAATTTTCTTCTAGCCATTTCGTAACCGTCAAAGAAAAAGTCCAAATCGCTTGACACCGTGTTTCTCAGACGAAGAGTTATTGCGAGTGAACTCATAAGTTCATAAGTTCAGTAAATTGAAACATAATTAACACAAAACCAAATTTATTGAACTCACAAATCATACTAAACTAAAAAGTAAACAAAACATAATAATATAAACAGTCATCTAACAGATGTTATAAATAAAACATATTGTTTTATTTCTTGATACATAACACTCCTTCACCTGTCAGGTAGTCCTTGAGATATGCCGGTGGTCGACGGATCCGAACAGATCGAACACTATACTCATTGAAGTGTTTTGGGAGTTTGATCTACAGATACGAGACCGAACAGTTTGTGGACTCGTGATCATGCTAGGGGAGTCTTGAATTAAACCAAAAACGTTGGGACCAGCTAAACCAGAAACGTTTGAAACCAGCATCTGTTTGATGAGGGTTAATTGATCCTTCTATACCACTAAAGGAATTTCGAGATTGTTGCATCGCTGATGGTCGCATTAGTTGTAGCCTACATCTGGTATTCTTCTAGCATTTTTTGTACGTCTGGTATTCTCATCATAAAAGGATTGCGAACCATTGATTGTGGTTGCACTGGAGTGATATGTGCTTCTGGTGATCTCATCTGAATAGTATTCAGGAATAGTGGATGGAACGGTGGGTTTACCGGGGATTCAGGATAATCCAAGTGTGAGTTAGGAGATGCTTTTGATATTTCTGAGCAAGGTCTCAATTGGTCGATATGACGTCATATTTAAATTCTTTATTTTGTTATCAAATGGTAGCTCAGTGGGCCGGTTATCCTAGTGACTTTAGCAGAAATCCACTTTGGTCCTCGTTGATTGTAGCTTCTTCTTGCAAATACGGAATCATTTTAATTTCATCTGAGGTGACTGTGGGTAATCATGAAGCGCTTTATCCAAGATTTTGTCTTCTTTGTCATTTGAAGAATAATCAGGGTGAAGTATGTCTTTTTTTTATAAGATGGTTCTAATACACCTTCCGAACAGCAGTTCACTCGGTGACATATTAGTTGAACAATTTGGTGTTCTATGAGATTATATTAGGAACTAAGCCAATCTTTTTTGCCAATCTTCTTGAGGTATACGTCGCAAGGAATTTTTTGTCTTTTGGACCATCCTTTTTGCCTGACCATTCGATGATGGTATTAACCATGGGTGCGGATACCATTGGTTTCATTAAACGATCGAAATTCTTGTGAAGTGAAAACCGATTCGTTATCATAAGATACTATTGTGTCTGGAACACCATGTGTTGCAAAAAAGCTTCTGAGAACCTTTATAGTCGATCTTGAATCTGTAGAAGGCACCACAACTAATTCTAACCATTTACTGAAAGAATCAACAACAATACAAAACGAATTGTTTTGGAAAGGCCCAGCAAAATCTATGCGGAGACTCCAAGCAACCAACAGGGCAACTGAGCTTCTGATCGAAAATGTATATTTGTACCCGATTGTCATTTCATTGTCATTCTGAAATATATGTAAAACATTTGTCGTCTTTTCCCAGTTCAGGTATCAATGTATGGTATTCGCCATGATCAAATCGCCTTTAGTTGATGTAATATGCACCCACTCCCTATCTTTGCGATCGTCATCTTCAGCTACAGCAAGCAATACCCAAATTTCTTCCTCGTCGTCCGTCATATTTCTAACTAACAACACTTGTTGACTGCAAACTCAATAAATGACGACGAAAAATTACTGTAGACTGCGCTGTCCCCGCAGCGGTGCAGAATCGCTCCGGCGTAAACGCCCCAGCGATGACGCCGCGGTGGTGATGGTAGGGTAAGTGGAGGAGATGAAAAAAACACACCAATATCACCACTGCTCTCATCGCTCCTTTGCGTGCAGGACTTTATGAAACAGGTCAGCAGCATCTCTCCTTCTCTCCGGAAGTTCTAATGAATACAATTCCAGCGCCTGAGCAAAGTCGCCAGTCGGCCATGGGCGCCTCTCTTGATAGAGGTAGCCACTTCTAACACTAACCAGGAGAAGAAATCTTTTCTGGATGGCGTCCAAGCGTTGCCTGTCAATTTCAGTATAGGATAGGGTGATTTCAGAATAAGAAGCATATTCAAGCCCTTGTCTGACTTATGAACATTACAGGGACTCCAAAGCCTGAAGACAACGGATACTGTGTACCTCACGAGAAGGGCATGAGTGGCATGACAAATCCAAACATTTTGTTTACTTTACTGGTAATATGGTCCACATGGTCATCAAATCGTAAGTCGTGTAAGAGAAATATGCATAGATCCTAAATGGTTGAGGTTATTTAAGCAATGTCTTCGCCCAAAAAATAAAAAAATATGAGATGATTAAGAGTTTGAAGACACTTCACTATAAAACTTCAGGCCATCAGTGAATACGAGGGCACCAAACGTCCACCCAAGAAGATCAGTGGTGAAGACATATTGAAAGTTATATTTTGTAGAGGGCTATGGCCTATGATAGCCACTTAAACATACGGTAGACACAATTTATTCCTACTACTGTTAAGTACCAAGTATCTTGTCTATAAGGAAATAAAGATTTTATTTTATTTGATATATATATATATATATATATATATATATAATATTCTTTGGCCGTGCCTAAACCACCCTTGCTGCTTTGCAAACAGCTTCCCAACTATGTCCTAACCAAAATTGGATTACGTCATAAGCTTGATATTTTACAGTAGGATGGGAAGTAAATTATACTTCTGTATCCCATATCAATACTTAAGCGCCTTTATATTTGTAATAATGTATTAACAAAATTGTAAAACTTTTAAGAAACCAGTATCCTTATACGTATAGACTTTTTCACTTTTGTACTATGTTGCATCACTGTTTCTCAAAACAAACAAACTGGATTTGACGTTTTGTTTTTGGAGTGAGTTGCAACATATGATTCTGATTCATTCTCATTCACTGTCAAAGTCTAGGGGTTTCTATAAGTTTGTGTATTGATGTAATAGAAGTGTCGTTTATTTGAGATTTATAGCAAAATTACAATGACTTACAATCTATTAAGTTAGTGTTTTAAGAAACTGAGCTTACCAAACAACCTGAATTATTTAAGATATACATGCCATTTATTAGGTCTATTCAACCAAACACTAACATAACCCTAAATTATATTTAGTTGTCTTGCTCTTGCTGTGTTGAATGATAATCATTTATGAACTACAACTAAAATTGTAAGGATGTACAGTTTTGAGGGCCAGTTTCGCAGGATACCAGAGCAAAATTTAGCAGGTGCAAGTATAAAGGAACATCGTGATGAACTTTTAAATAGGGCTCATTTTGAAAGATCTCAGAGAGAGGTAAGCTAATAAAAAGCAATGTTTTTTTATAGCCTTAGTAAGTTAGACCTTAAGCCCCGTTCACACGGGGTGAGTTTACAAGCTACACGCCGGCTTTTTTACACGCAGCTAGTAAAATAGCTCAGTGTGAACGACGAACTCGCTCAAAAGCTGCTTGTAAAAAAGCTCTGGAAAAAGTTGACGCTGCCGCTACTTTACACGCCAACTCGCCAGCTTTTGAGCAAGTAGGCGTGTAAAGTAGCCCAGTGTGAACATATTCATATTCATATTCTTTATTCATATTTTTTGTACAAAGGTGGTACAATGAAACATAGGCCTAGTTGCTTGTGCGCATGTTATTCAAAGATGTCGGAGGATTTGGTTCAAGCTAGCTACTGAGCGAGTGGAAAAAGCATCGTGTGAAGCGCACTCGCCAATTTGCCGGCGTCTTTTTTACACGTCGGCGAGTTGGCGAGTGGACAATCTCTGTGTGAACAAATACTAGCACACTCGCCAATTCGCCGGCTTCTTACACGCTGGCGAGTAGCTTGTAAACTCGCCCCGTGTGAACGATGCTTTAGTGTATTAGTAAGCATTTTGTTTCAGCAAATCTACAGTTTCCCAAACTTAGCTCCATATTGACTCGAAAGGTGCAGAGTTTGAGAAATGCTGGTTTTCAGGTTGAAGGCTCAAACAATTTAACTTAGACTAAACGGAGACTTATACTAATATAGCCTAGTAAACTTTTGTCTTTTTATGGATATTTTGTATAGGCTATCTCATTCATGGATACGGTACTAAATGTATAACACCATAACATTAAAATACTATAAATAAACTTGTTGGAAGAGAATGCATAGCCTAGCTTAAACCCAATTGCCTTGAAATATAAAATAAAACTTGAATGACAGACTGGCAAGGCTACTGTACTGGCTTGCACACCGGTCTTCAGTTAAGTTGTGTGTAACATGGGCTTAATGTACCGTACCCGCTGCAAGTAATACCACAAGGCAAGGACAATATACTGTACAATTTGGAGCTACCAAGTTCTGTTGTTCGTCACCAGAAGTAGGTTATAGTTATAAAACCGGTGTTGGTTCTGACTTTTGTGAACACATTATTTATGGGTTCGCCCACAAAACCAGCCAGCTGGGTAATCAGGACCAGGTTTGTGAGGCTTTATACTGTACGCCCAAGTTATTGCAAACTCCTAAAATGTTTAGAAAGTATATTTTCTGCTATCTTGGCTTATGCAAACCAGTCAAAACGGTCGTGATACTATTATAAAAACTAGAAAGCTTTCTTTATTTTTTTTTACTTGCTAACCATTTATAAGTTACTGGTTTAGCCTATGTTAATTTATCTAACGTCTTTGTGAAAACTATACAATTTTTGTTGTGATTCTTTATCAACTTTTATCTTTTAATTCTAAAGTAGGCTAATTGATAAGTTACAGTATAGGCTAACCGGTTGAACCCAATTATTCAACCTAAGATTGGAATTCTGATTGAAAGTCAAATTAAGCTTGTTACTGGCTAAAAAAGTAGGCTATAGGCCTACCTAGTTATTTATTTAAAGCTAAAGTTTAAGTAAAAGTAAAGTTTAAGTTTAAGTAAAGCAAACTGTAGAATCTGAGACACAATAACATTCATAATATAGGTAGGCCTATCTATAATCTTCTTTCAACATACAGCCTGTAATCAGGCGTTATTTGTGGACATATGCTTCTACAAATATTTCCTTGCTAGCCTAACCTATCTAGTAAGTCTTCAAGTTCGAATTTCTAGATTAAGCATTGAATTCTAACAATTTTATGTGTGATTAGGAATGTCGAAGAAGGGAGAAAAGTTCAGTGTGCATTCAAGCACACCTAAGGAGCTTTGCGGTACGACAGGCTCAAAAACAGCTAGAACGCAACGAATTTGATGCTATCGTAAAAAAATGTGAATCGTCAGACCCAAATGATGCTACACTTACTTTGCTGGTCCAGAAAATTTTGTTCTTTTACAACCCAGATGTTGATGCAAACAGATTGGTAAGTCTGTAAGGTTATATTTCAGCAAAGGAATTTGTATTTTATAAACTAATTCTGTTCAGTTTTTTTAAAAGGGGCTGTTTCCTAGCCTAGTTTACCTTCTGTTCCAACTGTTTGACTTTTACCTTTTATTTTAAGGTAGGGAATTTAAGAAATTGCATTTTTTTCTCATTGATATTTAAGCCTCGTTCACCCTATTCCTTTAATGTTCTCTTATATAAATTCTATTGTACACAAATGTCATTGCACTAAATTTGTGATTTTACCAAAGTACGGCTTATGCCTGAGCTGCTTCTCCATTTGATGTAATAGTATTTAAATTATCACAATATGAGCTACTTAGATTTAGCAATTGCAAACTTTTTAATCAATCTAATTGATATTGGTTGAAATAAATTTATAACAATAATGTGACTTTTTTAGTAAATTTAGGCCTAGTTTAACTGTGGACTAAAGAATTATATTTCAAATAATGTTAGGCCTGTATTTTAAAATATTGTCTTCTTTAAAACCTATTTCCTTACTAATGAGTTAATGACATGCACAATTTAAGCAACATAATTCAAACAATTACTGATGTTCATGTTTGGCAGGTGATCGTCTGTCGCATGGTGTTGAAGCAATGCAAGCGCTTGCTCACGTCTTGCATTGAGGACTCCCTTTGGCAGTTTAGAGTACGTAAACTTCTCAGCATCTGCATGTCTCGATTTGGACCAACGTTCGACCGAGAAGTCATGGCCACTCCTCTTCGGCTTTTTGAAATCATCACTTCCCAGCAAACGTTGCAAAAAGATGTTGGACTCTCTGAAGAGCGAGCTGTTGCTTTTCTAGTTCAGGTATTTAACAGTGTTTTGTGTTGAAAATCGTGAAGTGGGACCTACTCTAGTTCAGACATTTTGGGTAGTCAATTTGGCCTACATTGAGCCTTACAAACTTTGATTATGGATGTAGCTAGATTTAAGAGATTCTACTAATAACACAGTTTGATGAGGTTGTATCACATACTTGATCTGTTTTCAGATGTTCAAGTTCCTGATCAGGAAGGGTTACTTGGCTCACATGAGATTTCTGTTGGAGGCTACTTGCCCCCCTCTACTGGACGTTACCCCCACTCCCCCCACCCCTCTGGCACAGTGTATCTACGACCTCATCACTAGACCTATGTACCTTGTACACCAGACAACCGACTACGAGTACAGGTTGGTTCACTGAATAATTTTGTTATTCCCACAGTGCTTCTGAGGAGTTTGGATCATCATTGAGAACTATAGATTGGTTCGGAAAAGAAGTAGAGTCAGCTACGGTAACTTACATGAGAAAATAAGAGTAGGCCTATCTAGTGGTTACATAACCAAAGGTTTCAAAACATAACAAATTCCAAAATATAGGACTCCTTCAGAGAGTAGGTTGAAAAGAAAAATGTTTGATTAATCCTATACTAGGAAGTTCTAATCTAGAAAGGCCATTTTCTCAGGCAAGATAGCTGAACTCAATTCATTTGAAAAAATACCTACTAAGCTACTTATCTCTCTTTAAAAAAATAAATACAAAAACAAAAATAGATACAAAAACTGGACAATTTAGTGAATCATATGTCACAATAAAATAATTATAAGTTTCGTACATAAGAGCCTCAATTATATATTAGCCTATTTAGTTTTCCATCTTTCCGTGTGATCCGAAATTCTCTGCCGAAGTTAGAGTACCAAGAAATCAAGTGATATTTTCTTGTAGTATGACTGTGCATGGTAGAGTACGCAAAAACTATCCGCTTTGCCATGCCTGTTTTCTCAAAAGATCTTTAGTGGGGGATGTAGGTAATGGTTTCAGTAGGAAAAAGTCTTGAATACGTTCAACAGAAAACATAATTTTTAACTTGTTTACAATGTTATTTTAGCACTTTTACCTGATATTTTCTCTCATCAAACCTTGCCGCAACCGCTTTAGATTGATTTATTAAGATTCAACTCAATTTGCTTTTTTCCAGAAATTTAATTTCATCTCAGTTCACTAAACCTATTTCTTTGCTAGCATCAGACTTGCATTGTTTAATCCTGATAGATCTGTTTTGAGTTTTATGATTATCGAGAATTTTATGATACTTTAGTGGCGATGAAATCACAGAATATACTCATTTTCAGGCACCTAGTGATGGAGCATGTAGCTAAGGACCTTTTCTGTAGCCAACCATCAGAACCGATTTCTCATTTCCTACTGCCTGCACTCAACAACGACACTCGATTCCCACTCACAGTCTTCATACAGACTCTCAATTCTGGTCACCTTCCCATGTCATCATGGCTACTTCATTCTTACCTGTCCCTAGATAAACAACTTACCTGTAAGTAGTTAAAATTAGGTAAGTCGTGTTTAGTTTAAAAAATGTTATCAACTGTCAATTGGATGTCAATTGGAATGTTATAAACTAATCATCACTGTCTACAATTTGTTGTTGTTTTTAGTAGTAATTAGTGCCATGGTTTTAATACTAGCCTTTATATCCACCAGAATCATACTTCACCTACGTTTCAAGTTTCAACCTAAATACCAACATTTTTATAAAATAAAAAGGCTTTCTCAAATATTTCATTAGTCCTTTGTTATAATAAAATGTGTGGTACAGAAATAGGATTTGATCTTGTCTATCTACCTAAACTGCATCAACTACATTGTGTTGATTGCCTCAATGTATCTTATAAGACTAAAAATACTGTAAAAAGATTACAATATTTATATTTGTCAACGTGATTTGGAATATACAACACAACATGAAGTTAAAAATACTATTTACAATAGATGTTATTAAACATTGTATTGATTCTTAATTCTCAATTTCAGTCAACACAAGCAAAGAGTTGTTGGATTACCTTCAGGTCTTGGCCGAGCTAACTAAAAACTTCAACCGTATGTTGGCACCTCCATCTCGAGACGATGATGATGACGATATGAGCGATACTGAAGAAGACAATGTAAACACATCAGAAAAAATTGAAATTCAGGTATGATTTTTGGTTTGACATTGCTGACATTGTTTGTCATTCTTTTGATATTTTTTGTTTGTCTAATAAGATGATGAGTAAATACAACTAATTGTAGATAAGGCTATTTAAAAAAAACTGGCCTGTCAAAACCCATCTGCCTTTCTCCATCTCTCACTCCTTAGTAGCTTCAATTTGATATCTTTAGTTCGAACATTTTCACTGTAACCTTCCTCTGGGTCTTTTTTACTACTTGTTTTAGACTCTTTATCATCCTATCTTCTCAAAACGTACTTAGCAAAAAATACATTTTAATCTTTTACATAGCATCACAATAAATTCATGATAGCTAGGCCTACACAACACATTCCTTTGTCACCATAGGATAGTGTATTTGACTTTTGATAAAATTTAAATATACTGAATTTATTATCAGTGGAAACTAGGACTGCCTCCTAAGAAAAGGACGACTAAATTTAGATTAAATTCAAGCATTTCATGCTTACTTACACTTAGGTGAAATATTTTTACATTCTCAAACATTAACTGTTTGAACCACTGATCACAAACTTGATTTTTGTAGTTGTTTGAAGACAGATAAAAGCTTGATTCTAAGAGAGATCAGTTCTGAACCTAGATGGCATTAGATTGGAATCAATGATGCTATCTAACAAAATATTAAAGTAACAACACTGGGCTAACATGTCTGTTGTAGGTGTTGGAGAAATGTATTGAGATGATCAGTGGGGAGGAGCGTGTTCAGAGGCTGCTGACAGCTGTAGACAAGATGATTCAGCCAGCTGTACTGCAAGCACTGTGTCAGGTGTGCCACAACCTGCTGATACTGAGGAAACTCAACAACCACAAGCACAGGTGCGCCAACATTGCAACAAAAACTGTTAGAGAGTTTGCCTTTAAATCTAAACACTTTTGAAGATAACTTTATCTGGGTCATCTTTGTCATTAGGCTATCAAATGAGTAACGAAACTCGACGTTACTAACTAAAGGGTTGTTGTTAGTAAGTAAAAATATCAGGTTTGGTAAAAAAAAACTCCATCCTTACAAAAATGTAACACATACTAATGGTAACACTAAATAAAAAACTCTGTGTTTTAGTGACATTTTTGCCAAATTTTATAATCATTCAGAAACTTAAATGTTGGTGCTTGCTATTAATGTTGAGTAGTATATTCTTTAAATTTCTAATGTTCTTTTCTCTCCTTGCTTCTTGATTATGTGTCTCATACAATTAAGGCTTTGTAGATAAAGTAAGGTTAAAAGTATCGTATAAAATTCATTGAATCTTCCTCCAATCAGTGTTCAATTTAAAAACTTAAAAATTGTTCAATTTAAAAAACTGATCAATATCCTCCATTGCAGCCGCCTTCTGTATCTACTCGCCCTCAAACCACAGTTCCTTCAGCAGCTGTGGACGGCCATCCTAGGAGCCAATCAGACGTCACTGTTTGGCTCCCCCACTCCTCTACTCACCGTCATTGCTCGTGGAATACCCATGAGCGAGCAGGAGACTGAGCGGATCGTACCACTGCTCGCTACCTTTTGCTCACTCTTCTCACTGCTGGTCGCTTCACTTCACGATGCAGAGTTCTACAGCGATGATGACATTATGTGTAGGTTATCTGGTGTAAATTTATTTTAATATTTTTGCCCTGGGATTGTGTTATTAAACTATGTATTGGTTATAAATTTTAGTTGGAGGAAAGATGCAATGGTTTGTAACATTCAAGAGGATGTTGTGGCAAATCAGGTTTTATGTAGGGATCGCTCAGTTCCAAATGTTGATTTTCAGTTGTACCTTTTCTTGGCCATGAACCTAAATCAACAATCAATGCTAAGCTTTTCATTTCCCTATTTGATTCATAACAGACTCTCAAGACCTGCATGGATATGATTTTTTTAAATTTCTGATAAGAATAGGAAAGTCTCTAAATGCCTAAAGGAGGGAAAATTGTTTGGACTCTCCATGTTGAGAAAGGGCCAGTGGCCTCGAAATATCCAGTGTTTATTTTGTTTTGTGTTTTCTTGTAAAACCCGCATGCTTGTTTTGTGTTGGTTACATTTCTGTAGTGAATGAAGTGGGATGCCTACATTTCTTAAGCTAAGCCTAGCCTGCTTATCCTATCCTTTCTCACACCTATTCTCAGGCAATAAGCCCTTTCTCTCCAAACCTAAAGAAGGGAAGAGTTATACCAACCAGTTTTAAAATTCCGGGTGGATAAACCAACATAGATTTTCCCAAGGCAGAGGCAGGTAATCTGTCTGGCCATTGATTCAAGCTCGGTTAAGACAGGGTATGATGAAAAGAGGTTTAGTTTAATATCCCATTTACCTATAGATATCTTGTGAGTTTACAACTTATTGTTACAGTAAGAGGGACCACTACAATGCCGTTCTCTCTGCCAACATTGGTCGGGATGACTGCTCGTCTGAAGGAAGTCAGCCTGGGATTGGTGGAACTTGCGTTTCCAGACTCCCGGCCCAGTGTCAAGGACCAGTATAGATCAGCTGTTTGTGCAGACGACAATACCTACGCTAACACAGTCATGTGGTCCCATTTGTTTAAGGTTAGTGGAGTAAGCTGTGTAGTTATTTCAGGTGTTTTTAAATTACATTTGTTTCTATGATGTGACTTTGGAAGATGGATTACTTAATCACTTCCCTAAGACCTACTTGTACTTTTCCTCAATGTTTGGGTTGAAAGGCGAAGAAGGCTAATATGAATCCAGGAAGAGTGTGGAATGAAGGGCATTTGTTAACCTTGTTTACTGACTAAGATGTGATGTCTTAGTAGAGCTATTTGTAAAAAGAAAAAGCCCATTTATTAAGAACGCTGGGTCCAGTATATATTTTTGTTAAAGAGGTTGGCGGTCTCTTTTATCTTGCATTTGCCCGTTCACATGGATCACAGAGGCCTGTGCCTGGAACATATCCAGCAGAGCAAAGGGTGAGCTGGTACAGTACAAGGGCACCAAACCAAGTACAACTGTGCAACAACAAGGGTAAAAGGGTAACTGTACTAATAATAAGTAGTGGCAGGTACAAATTCACGACATTGTCACCTTGGGCAAGTCTGTAGCGCTACCAACTGAGCCACTTACCAATTGAACAAATCATTAAAAATCTACTGTGAAACCAACGACCATGTGATTTTTAGGCAAGCACCTTAACCACTCAACTACCCAGCTCTTCAGCATCATAATAGCTCTTCAGAAGTCTTGGTAATAAGTAAAAACATTGGTTTTGAATTGTTGAAAGAGTTTTTTTGGAGTGAGACCTCTGATATTTAGTGTTCTGATATTTTTGTTGCATTTTTCTCGTACATTGGTGGACCCAAACCTTTGGGTCAGAGAATTATCATAGCTAAAAGCATATGATAATGCATAATGATAAATAGGTGTTTGGTGGGATTTGAACCTGGACCTTCAGTATTGAAGTCCTGAACTCAAATCACTGAGATCTCCCCCAATAACCCCCCCTTTCCCTTATAACTTATATATTTTATTTTAACATGTTTGAATTTTACCTAATTGCCTTAAGTTTTGCTGATGATTGAATCCAGCGTTTGATAATACCACTGTGATTTCACTTTATAGGCGTGTGTGAAGCTGATGCGGCAGTTGTACAGCAGAGACTTGCGACGGACGTTCTGTCCTGAAGGGCACTGGATATCGCAGTCTGTGACGCAGTCCCTGGCAATGGACCGTCCGTCAGATGCGACGCTGCGCAACAGATCACGACTGAGACATCACTACATACCCTTCCATGACATTGTTGCGTTCACCAGAGAAGAGCTGGGTGAGTGATGAGAATGAGAGTTCACTTTTAGTACAGAGTGTCTTTGTGTTATCCGACCCTCACTGTAAATTATTAAGTACCCAGATTTTGTGTGTTTTCCGCAGTGGGTACATTAAGGTTTCTTTTTGCCACTCATGTCTATTGTCAAAGAATTTATCCTCGTATTCCTTTCTGACCATGCACATTCTTTCTGAGCAGAGCTTTACCTTTGAGTTTGTTGATTGCGGTTTTGCCGAAGCAGTCTTAACACCTAGAGTCACATTCTTTTGATAGCATTGCTTCTCAGAGTAACGTCTTTGGAGCTATGCCGTGCACTGCACCTGACTACTTTCTGATTGATTTAACACGCTGTATACCTCACAGTTTGTTTTCTCCTCACACTTCTTGCTTACCTCTTTGCTACCACTTAAGTGTTAGTCAAGGTGCAAATATAGACCTGTGGTTGAGTGGATCGCTTTATCTAGTATTTCATAGATGAAGTGGTGTTGTCTTCAATTTTTTGTTACTATTATATTATTTGTGACAATGGCTTGTAAATAGAAAAAAGCACTATGAAAGATAATTGTTCCTTGAGTTGGCTTTACAACTGAACAACAATTTACATTTTCTGTATTTTTTTACCTTGCCCCTGCTGGTTTACACAATGCAAAATAGTCCTGAACAAAACTTTAATGTAAAGATATTGTTGTTGTATTTTCAAGGCCTATTTTTGTTTTTTTCAGAGGAAGGACCTCCCCCATCAACCAAAGAAGTGCGGATACTCACCATACTTAAGGAGATTCCGTTTGTTGTGGCGTTTCAAGAGCGAGTGCTTGTGTTTCAAAGTTTAGTGTTAAAAGACAAAATAAGCTACCAGTCGATGGCGAGAAACTTCCTGCATGGACCCTCAATAAATATCATGGTCAGACGGAACTACTTGTATGAAGATGCGTTTGACAAACTCTCACCTGAAAACGGTAAGTTCACCTGCCATTATGTTAGGTGCTTTACCCCTTTACACAATGCTAAGCAGTCAACAAGTACATTACAAGTATAAAACGGTGCAATGGAGTATAATTTCGGGTGTGTACTCTAAATATCCTATTTCATTCTAGTTGCACTCCTGATTATCATTCCTCGATCTGGGTTTTATTGGACCTCTCTATGATCTATCTGTATAGAGATCCTCTTCCCCTACCATCTACAATCTCCTCTCATCTGATGTCTCTTCACTTATCTTCCTTTTAGGTCTTAATCTCAGCCTCGTCATTAAATCCATCTTCTAGGAATTCTTACAACATGTTCAAACCCTCTTAATCCAATCGTAATGTGCACTGCATGTTGCCAAGTTTTACAAAATTGTCCCTTGCTGGGTTTCTGACAAACCCTTATTCTCTGAACCTGACAGTGCAATACAGTTGTTTATTTACTAGGGATGGACAAGATTGGATTTTTAGTTCGAGACGAGACGAGACGAGATTTTTTATTTCTCATAAAATTTCGAGACGAGATCGAGACGGGATTTCCCTTCTCATACACAACGGGAAATGCACGTTCAACATTTTTAACTGATTTTGTAACATTGTTAGATGACTGTTTAAATACAAAAATAATGATAATAGGCAAGAATATTTACAATCTTTTATTAAAAAACATCAGTATAACATTTTTTTATTAATCACGCCTAACTTATTAAAAATGCCTACGATTAGGAAACATAGTGATATCAGTTAGGATAGAGTTCAACTTATCCTAAAATAAAATAAATCATAAAATAAAAGCAATATTAATTTTTATAAAATAGTTACTTGTTTTGACTTTTTATAGTAATAAAACATTCCTCACATTGCTTACACTTAACAAAACTTCTCAAATGTTATTAAAGTAATATTATTAAAATAATTAAAGTAATATTTACATTTAAAGAATTAATTAAATAAGAACGCCTTCGCAAAGGAAACACAACTACAACACGCTCCTGTATTGCGGGTATTGCATTGACTTTCTGCAGGCGTTTTTAATTTTTTTAATTTTTTTTTTTTATTCTCGTCTTGATAAAAATCTCGGCCAAAAAGAAATCTCGTCTCGTGTAACGAGATTTAAAATTTCCCGAAAATTTCCCGAAATTTCGAGACTTGACCATCCCTATTATTTACCCCTACATTTCTCTCGTGTCCGCAGAGCCGGAGCTGAGGCTGGTGATGAGGGTACAGCTGGTCAGTGCCGTGGGCTTGGATGAGGCGGGAGTGGACGGTGGAGGGGTGTTCCGAGAGTTTCTCTCCGAGCTGCTCAAGACCGCTTTCGACCCCAACCGAGGGTTTTTCAGACTGACCAAAGACAACCTGTTGTATCCTAACCCTCATGTACACCTGCTGCACCCAAACTTCCTCAAGCACTACTACTTCATTGGCAGGATGCTGGGGAAGGTGAGTACCCTCTGCTAATTTACAAAAACTGTTAGAGAGCAACTTTTAAACTAAAAGAACTCCTACTTTGTGAGAAGTCACCATAATAGCTGCCAAGCTAATTCATTCGGAGAAAGGTGTCCATTGAACTAGTGAATGCAACATAAATATAATCTTAAAAGTTGTTGTAGTGTCTATGCCAAGAACATTTTATAAAAAATAATCACTCTTAAGGGATTTTCTTTCTTTACCCTACCCTCCTAAAATATCAGTGCCATGATTTCGACCATGTATCATACATTTCCTTGGATTTTAACTTTCTCAGGTTAGTTAGATGAACTCTAAAACTCTAAACCCTTTTCAAAGATTTAATAAACACTTTTAAGGAAAAAGGGTCCAAATTCCTTTTAAACGTTTGGTGAATATGACATGAAATGAACCCGTCCCTCTTGCATCAAAGTTCAAGACACTAATCACTAAGCTAGATACACACCCAATACCCAACACTTTTAACACATTTCTTAGCATGTTATGTTTTATGCCCATGTGTAACAGGCCCTGTATGAGAACCTACTAGTAGAACTGCCACTGGCAGAGTTTTTCATGTCGAAGGTCGTCGGACGACACGCTGACGTTGACATGCATCATCTCGTCTCTCTAGACCCGATCCTCTACCACAATCTGCTCTACCTCAAGAACTACGAGGGAGACGTACAGGATCTGGGATTGGACTTCACCGTGGTGCACGACGAACTGGGCGAGACAAAGGTGGGGGGGGGTTCATTTTGGTGGGATTAAATTAAAGAGCATTTACTGTCATTAAACTTGGGTTTTCAATGGACACATTCCCTAAGGTTTATTCATGTACGTTAAACATCTCAGCTGAAACCTTTAGTTAGATTATTACTTTAAGGATGAGACACTTGGAATTGACCATCGTTAAAATGAGAATTACTCAGAGATTATATATTTTTTAACTAATGTTAGTTTTTTTGTTAGCAAAAAGTTGAAAAATTGCTCCTATCTATAACATTTTTTCCCTTTTAGATTTCCTCCTTGTAGAATGTTGCTGCCTGTGTAAATGTGTAGTCAACCATGAGGTAAAATGTTCTTTCAGCTCTTCTTCGCTGTTTAGCCGCAGACCACCAAGAAAAGACATCAGTTGCAGAAACAGATTAAAATCTCTCGGAGGAAGGTCAATTGCTTTTACGTTTTTTCCATTAAGAAAACGAATCTTCGATCGACTTTCACAATCGGCGAGATTCTCAATTAACGCAGCCATTACAAACAAGCACTATGAAGTGCACAACAACAATAGCGAGTTCAAAACAGTGTCATTCTCTTCCAGTTGGCACAGAGTAACTGCCGCGCATGCGCTGAATGGCGATCGTAGTGCTAACATGTGGAATTGTGGAAATGGATCTGATTTTCAGAACGTACTTTTACAAAGCAAACAAAGGGTTTTTTTGGATTGGTATAACGTTCTCAAGGTAGGCAGGCATACTGATTTTGCCTATATGGACATTTCCCTGCAGTTATAATTGGGTTCCTTGGTCTAAAGCCATGATGTCATTTATCCAACACTTTGATTTCTATTCTTGATAATTAATCAAAGTATTATAATGTTAAATTTTATTCTGATTGGATAAAGGTGGATGAGTTGAAACCAGGCGGGAACAATATTCCAGTGACCTCAGCAAACAGAATAGAGTACATTCACCTGGTTGCTGACAACAAACTGAACAAACAAATCAAAATGCAGTGCTCAGCCTTCAAACAGGTTCGTAATTTCTAATTTCCAGTCTTTTAAGTCCATCCATTGTGCCTTTTTTTAACTTTTTTTGTATTCAAATCAAACTAAAAAGCAATACTCGAAAGCAATTTAATTTGACTTTGTAAACAGTGCCGGATTTACCACTAGGCCGCAAGCAAAAGAGGGTTGGTACAGCGTTTTGCACTAAACATTTTTATTTCATAGTATTGATAATTTACTGTACTACAGTTTCGGGTGACGATGACGATGCCCCTAATCGTGGGAGATGTTTATAATTTAGCAGCTATCTCGAGTGGTGACAGTGGCGTTCCCAGGATTTTATTTCAGGGGGGGGGGATGACCACCAATAAGGGGGGCTGGATTGTATGGAATATCTCCCAGAAAAAAAGGGGGTCCCCCCAATATGGAGTTTAAAGCCTAAAAACATATTTTTATACATATTTGAGCTCTTAAATATGCTCAAGCTAATAGTATTTATGTTAGCTAATAAAATATAAAATATTTCGGCGGGAATATATCACTCCCACCCCCACCCCTGATGATGATGTCCAGTGATTGCGGTAAATGTTCTTGATTTCACAGCGATCCCAGTCAGTCGGGGTCCTCCTGTGGTTGGATCGAAGATTAAGGCCTTTTTTCTGCCGATGAAAGTATTTAGCAGTGACCAGGGAACAGGAGTACGCACTAACATATCGCTTATGATTTTTGACTATTGGTAACCTAATGAGGTGTACACCCAAGGGCACCCATACTCGAGGGCAAATAGGGTTAAAGCCAAACCATATTTTCACAAAATTGTTTTACAATACAGTTCTTACAATTAGATTTAGCGAGTGTAGAGTAAAAAATCTTACTGTAGTTTGGATTTTCTCTTATACTACATATTTGTCCAGGGTTTGGCAGATGTTATCCCTTTGGAGTGGTTGCAAATGTTTAGCAACAAGGAGTTTCAAGTGTTAATTTCTGGAGCTGAAATCCCTGTGGATGTGCATGATCTTCAGCTTCACACTAATTATACAGGTACAGTAAATACTGCCTTTAACTATTAATACCTACACCTTTAGTTATCCAATAGTCAATTATACTGCCTTTATTGACCGTTAACTATCAGAAAACGTCCTGTAACATGGTATCACAGAATTTTATTATGTAGCCTATGTATAGTTTTTAATTTGCTCTATATGTTTTTTTTTTATTTTCTACTTTAAAAGTAAAAAGATTATCTGAATTACAATATATTCTTCAGCTGATCTGCTTGAAGAGAAGTGGGGCTAGAGGGAGGTATGAGTAGTTTAATTGCTTGGTAAAGTCTAGAAAAAATTTGAAGATATAAAAAGGAAAGATGCTTGAATTTGAGACTGGTTAAATGTAAATTGTCGATATCAGTAGGGCTTTCAGAAAATTTGTGATTTTTCTCATACTCTTTCCAATAAATTCTCCCCAGTCTAAAAATGATGAACTGGTATTTGTTGGGTATTTATCAAAGCTATTCTGTACAGGAGGTTACACAGCTGAACATCCTACTATCAAAATGTTCTGGACGGCAGTTTCCGACTTTGACGACATTCAGAGAAGACAGCTGCTTAAGTTCGTTACCAGTTGCTCTAGGCCACCTTTATTGGGCTTCAAGGTAAGTAACACAAAGTAGTTTTAATTATCAAAATTGTGTAAAGTGGTTAATGAATACAGTAGATTCTATGGAAATGTGAATTGCTGATTAATTACAATATATTGTATAGTTCCTGGACTCCTCATAAGATAAAAGAATCTTTCTTACCTCTGGGAAATTTAATAAAAAATTATGACTAGTTTTTTGCAAGCGCAATATTATAAATACTTGTGCATCAAAATCCCATGTACATTTAAAGGTTGCAATATTTTTACTCTTAATGTTTTATTTAGTACATACCTAAAACCCAGGAGTACCGAAGGATTTTTGCCACCTAACAATAATGTCACGTTGACGTAAAGCAAATACAGCAAAGTAAACATAGATGTCCTTTTGTTGCCTCTTTCCAAAAGCTCTAACTTTAAAAGGTGAAAGACCAGAGGATAGATCCTTAGTTTGATATAAGGTCCTGTGTACATAGATTATCTTTAGTCAACAAAATCTCATAAAAACATGTTTATTTTTGTTTTTATTTATGCCAGTGGCATTTTTTGACATTTTTTTTGGAATGGAACGGTCTAAACCGGTCTTGTTATCTAACGTCGACCATTTGTTAGATAGCACAAAGACAAATGGCATTATTTAGTACTGTGATTTTTTGCGCCACGGAAAGCCAGATAGTTAAGTGTAAACTAACATTGTAAAGTAACATTTTGTAGTGTAAAAAAAAAAATAAACCATAGCTTTTTAGACACAATTTTCTTTAATTTCAAATTATATTGTCAGAAATGTTTGTTAGGAGTTGGACCCACCGTTTTGCATCCAGCACGCAGGGGTGGCTGACAGGCTTCCGACCGCCTCGACGTGCATGAATCTTCTCAAACTGCCAGAGTTCAAATCGGAGACGTTACTGAGAGACAAACTGCTGTATGCGATACAGTCAGGCTCTGGGTTCGAGCTTAGCTAACACCTGGAGGCCTCTCGTATGTGTCTTTCATTGTATATACACTCTGTAAATAAATATCTGATAGGGTTGTATATGTTGTTTCAGTTTGTAAACTACCTGAATCACTCTATTGTGCTGTATGGTTAGCTGTGTGTTTGTAGCTTACTTTCAAATCTGGAGATTGCTGGTTCAAAACAAAGCCGGGTTGATCCTGAATCCAGCTGCCACTTTTCATTGGACTATTAATATTTATTGATCGTTCTTTCTTCTGCGTGGACCATCTAACTGTATGCTTTTTAACGAGTGAAAAAATGTTATAATGACGTAAAAAACACAAAAATATATAAAGCCCTTTCGTCTTCTAGGTGACAAATTATTAACAGTTTTTTTTAAACCTTTGAGCTCCTTCCATTAAATTAGTTTTCCCCCACATGGTGATTGCAAATAACCTCCGTTATAGATTTTTACGTTAGTTACAGTTTAAGGATTTAAAAATACATATTTTGCATAGAAAACAGAAGTGGTAAACGTCATAACCTCAAGTGGTAATAAAAAAATATGGAGTTAAACACAACGTAGGTTAAACATAAGGCTACAGGTGTTAAGGGTGGCTGAAGTTGAAGGTTTATTAATAATAGCTGTATTTCGATTTCAGGCTTCCAGTTTGAATTTGGTCCCTACTTACCACTGTACTTAAATGGGGGAATAAGGTTGCAATATGTACTAATTAATGAGGGTGTTGTAGGTCCTAGTGTGAAAATCACATTTACCAATTTATCATAAAATCACACACAACGAATTTTTGCATTACATAACTTAAGAATGCTTCCACAGTTTGCCCATTTATATAGTCATCCTCTAAAATGGCTGCTAAGATCAATTACAAAGCTAAGGTTATTCTTAATAAATCAAAACAATATCAATCGATAAAACAAAATTTTATTTACATACATAACAGGAAATAAAATTCTCTAAAATTTACAACATACTTTAAACACTGGATAAATTTTAACAAAAATAAAACCACATCTATAATACACTTATAACTATTTTTCAATAAAATACGTGTACTGTTCTAAGGCACAGGTGATTACAAAATAATACCGTGACACTAACCTCATAATACTTGAAAACGTGACATTGATATTGTGAAAAACTTTCAAACACGATTTATGTGATTCATTTCAACAAGGGATTAAAATTTTCGAACGTTATGTACGTTTGTTCACACACCAACTTCACAAGTGCGATAAAATACATGAGATTTACACCACAAGTCAAATTTAAACGTCACTTTTGACATGAAACAAATTGACAACATTTAGTGACATCCATCACGACAAATGAAAGTGTTACATTCAGCAATTTTTAAACAATATAGAACCAACATTTTATTACATTGTTTTGCCAATACACATACAAATATTTTACAAATTGAATCTTTACCTGGCCTCTAAAAATACTATTTTTGGTTGAAATCACATGGTAACGGTAAAATGTTATAATAATGGTTCATGGATTCATAGGTTGGACCCAAATTTCTTTAGTCAACACCTCTCAGTCTTAAATTCTAATACAGTAAAATATTTATGTAAACCTTATAATGGTAATATGTGTAAATCAGAAACAACTCAAAATTTTGCCCAGGGTATGATTTTTAAATTTTAATATATGTGGCTTAGATAAACATTTACTACGGTTGTAATGTTTTTCACACCTACAAAAATATTTGACACTAACAGTTTTGTGTTAATCAAAAGTCAATAATGATCTTTTGTTGAGAATTAATTATATTAACTACTGTTTAAAACTACTGTGTCACAACTTGGTATTTTGTATAAAAAAAAAATAGGTAAACATTTATTAAGTGTGAATACTACAGGAATGTGTTCAGGAATGTTAAGGATGAGCTTGCAAACTTTAGCAGTTATGCAATTCAAACATCAAAACATAAACTACTTGAATTGAAGGAAATATAAATCATTCAATTAATTAAAGAAGCATCAAGTTGAGAAAATGGAAAATTTCGTTTTTTGACATGAATACATGTAAGGTTACAACATTTTCAAAATTAGCTGTTTTCCCAATGGTAAAGATAAATATTAAAACTACTGCATGCACATTTCCGTTATAAGGCCATGACAATCAGTAAAGAATTGGTAACAATTAACTATCAGGATGGGCCATGAAAAAAGGCATCATGTGATAAAAATCTCGTAAAAATACTATACCCGGAATATCTATAGGCAAAAGATTTACATACAGCTCTTTCAAGGCCACAAAATATTTTTAGGTGGAAATCTCAAATTTTAAGTAGACAAAATCAGTCTTCACTGATGAATACTGAAGGTTAGGATCTCGTGTAGACTATGTGCAAAGCCCCCCAAACACAATAATCACAAAAAGATAAATACAAAACATTCTTCAAACTTATGGTGGTAACATGTCTAGATATATATAAACAATCTTAGAAAACAATAAGAAACTAGTTCTAAAAGTGAGAAAGCAATCGCAAACTGTGTACATATAAAACTATCTTCGGGATAATACATATGTACATTCCATTTACAAGGCTGACTTAAATCATACCTGTTACAAAAGTATAAACTTAACAAATACAAGGTTATTCTGCTTAAAAATACTTAAAAGAAATACAGTGGGTAGGAATGATCTATCATGCGGAAAACAATCAAAATCAACAATTCAAAGTATCACAATAAATATAACAATCATAAAACTCTACAAATTTAATTCACTTATAAAACCCAAAAGTTAAAAAATATTTTAATATCTGTACATTTATTTAAATATCCCTCACAATTTAAAAATCTCCTTTTCAACAACAAATCTTAACAAAACCTAAATTAATTATTGTACAAATAGTTAAATTAACATGAACTTAAAACGAATATATTTGGGTCTACTGGCACTGAAAAGTTTGATTTCCCAATCAAGAAACTGAAATAATAAGTTAGGAATTAGAATTGCTTTAGAAAAGATGCATTCCATTCTCAATATAACTCTAGTTTTAATATATTTTTAAATTTAAATACTATTAAATTCTAATAATTGTGATTTTACTGGACAGTCAATGTTTCCTTGCTTTTATAAGCTATATTAAAATCTTTTTGCTATGAAATTGATAAAATGCTAATAATAAAGTCAAGTTTGCTAATGTCAACTATACATATTGATAATCACTTGTGTGAATTATGCATATCTTGTTAGCTACTTCTGTATCATTTGCTTATGAAAAACCAAATATTGAAAATGGATGCATCTCTTGTTGGCGGAAGACAGAAAATGAATGAATGAGTCAAGGAATGAGATCAACGGGTAACAAAACTTAGGCTTCATGACTAGTAAAGATGTTCTGACGGTTAAGTACATTGTCCTGCAAGTAGTAGTAATTAAAATAACTGAACCGTATAATGAAAAATATGTGGGCTAAACTTAAGTACATTATACGTACTTAAATATTACATTCACACATACATTCTACAGTGTGGTAGAAAAGTCCCGAAACGGTTGTATATATTTGTTACCAATATAGATGAATTAATGATACTTGGTATATAAATAGTAGCTATAAATGTCTACTGTTTTAAGCTATTATAACTTTTTTATGCCTTAAGAAACGCCCACGAGGAGTCAGACAAAATTCTTAAATAGCAGCATAGGTCGAGTTTGGTATCTAATTAAAGGTCTTAGTTAGTAGAATACATTGCCGCAAACCCGAACTCAAACGGACAATTGATTCAAAAATGGCAGCTGTTAAACTATTTCTTGAATCTGCCATTTTGAATCTTTGAGCAGCTGTATTTTTTTACTCAGTTGTTCTATTGGGCTCAAATTTGCAGTATTGTATTCTACTACATAAGACCTTTAATTTGATGTGCATGTCGACATATGCTTACGTTAATGATTTTCTTCCGAATTCTCGCGGTTGCCCCTTGATGAGGTAGCGTAGAATAGCAATGCAAATTCAATGAGTCTTTGAACATCTGTCATTTTTGACTCAGTTGTCCTTTTGAGTTCAGGTTTGCGGCAATGTATTCTACTAAACTAAGACTTTTAACTAGAGACCAAACTCGCCCTATGCTGCTATTTAAGAATTTTGTCTGACTCCTCGTGGACCGTCCCCCCTTAAGACATAAAAAAGTGATAATAGCTTAAAACAGTATACATTTAAAGCTATTATTTATATGCCAAGTATCATTACTTTATCTATATTGGTAACAAATATATTTAACCATTTCGGGACTTTTCTACCACACTGTATATGTTCAAACTATAATCAACAGATAAAGGATATTGTTTTTGTTTGACATAACATGCGACTAAATATACTCTTTTCTATGAAAATACTATAAATTATATAACCTAGAAAACAAAAATAAATCAATTCTTTACGATAACATAAAATAGACTATAAACAACAAACATTTGAACAAAATGTTTAAAATATTCATACATGCAAGCAAGCTTTGAATTGTAACACACCTTAATAAAGATGTAAACAAATTAAAACATTGTCTTTCCTTGACTTAGATGAGTAATTCATCTCCGAACCAGGCACACTTAATATACAAATTGCACTAACCGGCAAATATTTTGGTTTCTAAGTGAGGAACGATTGTACATTATCACACAAATACATACTGGTAAAATGTAAACGCCGAGATATCTCTTAAAAATTTACAAACGTAAACATTTTCTAATATATTATTTCTCATTTTGAAAACATAAATAAATCTGTACAATTGAGGCATCTTTTGGTAAGGCCTGATCTCAGGTGGATACTTCATGACTTTATGCGGTAATGTAATAAAATATATAAAAAATATACATATTTACAAGACAGTCTAAAACACACGTATAAGCTATGATGTCGGATGAGCCAAACCTGCTTTATAAGCACACTTGTGGTAAACACAGTGATAACAAACGATAAAACTTTGTAACTGTACAAACAAGTCGAGGACTTTGGTCCCTTCAGCATTGAGCGTGTCTTTGGTTGGTCTGAGGAACTAGAATTACTGCATTTCAGTCGTCTCCTATCTTATCTCCTGACAAGACTGTATCTTCACTCAAATCTGAACTCCGTTCCTGAAAAAGTTCCTTTTGAACTTAAGTGTTGAGTAAAACCCTAAACATTAGAAGATTTTTGTAATTTGTAAACTCTTTCTTTACACTTGAAAATGTCCTTCAGGGAACAAAATATTGTGTGCACAGTGTTTTTCTACATGTTCTATGACCTACCTACACTTTCAAGGTAAGCTAGCTCCTATCCTCCTTTTTCTACCATTCAAAATCCTGGCCTACAGCCTTTCCTTGAAAAAAACAGAAAAGGTTTAAAAATTAGAAGGTTTTTTTACAAAACTTATTTTACACCTCTTAGACAAATTTGGAGGACATGCATATGAGGTTGGGCGAACTCAATAAAATGGCCTGATGATGTTAAGATCAATTTCAGCCTAACTCCTAACTATTCTAACACATGGTCCTATAGAACAGCCTTAGTCCTGTGGGGTTTCGGCTTTCTGGACTGAAACATCATGAAACTAACTAAAGACAGCCTTCCAGTAATCACACATTTTCAGCAATTTTCCTGCCAAAGTCCAGAACGTGCTGGATTAGCGATCAACTGTAATTTAATTTTACCGATACAACTAAGGATGGGTTTTTCTAAACTAGACTAATGTCTGCATTTCTGTGCTGCATTTCTCTAACGGCGGACACAGCACTAACCGGAAGGCTCCGCTTGGAGGAAGGGCCTCAAAGGAACTTTTTCCCTCTTGAAAAATGCATTTCATCTATAATCTGTTAGCGGATTTGATTTTTGAGCAGACCTTTTGTTCTTGTCATTACCAAAAGCGTTTGCGAAGATTGCGCGATCGAAAATCATGAAAATAAGTGATGACAAATAAGTCTATGGCAATTGAGGTTCCCAAAAGGCATTCATGATTTCACCACGATCTCAGGAGACAGTAAGTATGGCTCCTGAGATCATGCAAGATGATGACCATTTAGGAGATGATGCATAGGTACTCAATTCTTACGCGAACGCGGAAGATGTCCATAATTTCACCGCAACCGTAGGGGGCGCTCACGATTTGGTGACCTAGTTTCGTCGACCTAGGACAATTTAGTTCATTTTCAATTTTGCATCACGTTTACAATTCTGCCATGAATGCAGTAGTTGTTTAACCCATTATAGTCCAGCAATTAATATGATTAAAAATCTACATTCCAAATCAATCTGATTCAGACCAGACCTAATTTGGATTTTGGCTGGCGCGAAAATCTAAATCTTTGACCCTGAGACCCTAAGTACAAAGGTTTGACCCGAGATCCCTAGCATTTTTAAGCCTATTAAAAATAAAATGTCATTATTTGTTGGCTAATCTCCCAGCCTCATAAGTATATTCACCGGTCAGATAGTCGAAAACGAAGAGACGGGTTCTGTGGATAACAATTTTATTAGAAGAAAGATATGTTTATCATTGTACAGGATGAGCTTAAACAATTCATAGGCTTGGTCTACATTTACAAATTGAAATATTTAGGTTTTAATGGCTCATTGTCAATAACTTTACAGAAATTACTAATGAAAAAAAAAAACACTTCTATCAAACACAATGATTGGCAAAGTGACAAGATAAGAATTTGTGTGGATTGAGTGAAACTCATAAAAATTTTCTTGTGTGTGATAAAATTCCTTGTCCCACACTAAATGATAACAGGTTGTAATTCATCAACTGGGTAGTCGAGTGCGTAAAGTGCTTTCAAAACTGAAGTGTTCCCCAAGTGCGACCAGTCTGAATCCAAAGGCCTTGTCAAACTAAGGTTGATTTCAGATAAAACCAAAGCATTCCCTTAAAAAAATGCTGAAAGCCTAAAAAACAAAATAAAGGGATGGACTGTAAAGTAAAAGTAAATGTTAAATATATGATTACCCGCAGGACAGTGTGTAGTGGCGTGGTGTCGTGGTAGACATGTGTGTAGCCGGGTTGGTTGGGTCTCCACTGCAAAGCCCTCAGTTCCGCCCGGGTCAGGGGAGGGATCGCAGGACAGTCGTGACCCGCCACCAGGCGGTGGATAGTGTGCATCGTGTGTCTCTGCGTCAACTCTAGGTGGCGGTGTGACCGGCCCTACAACAAACAATCGCAAGCGTCAAATGAAGGCGGTGGTTCAAAGCACATACTGAATAAATGGGTACATCTGTTAAATAAGTGAGCAAATAAATGTTACCAACAATTTCATTTAGGAATATCGTATCAAATTCACCATGTACAATTCAAAAATTGGTAATTTAATTTTGCACTGCGTTTCCTTTAGAGCCAAGCTGAATTCCATAGCTTACACAAGGTATTTTCATACCTTCTACTAATGTAAATTATTTAATTATTAATTCCTGGTGATATTAGCACTATTTAATGGCCAAATATTTTACTTTTAGTTGAACAATATATTTTACTTTTGTTATTAAAATTTCTAAAAGTAGTTTACAGTAGACTCCCTCTTATCCGGACTCCTCGGGACCGAGGCCAGTCCGGAAAACGGGTTTTCCAGTTAAACCGACGTCCCCAAATCTCGTTAAAATGGACTGTTTACTGTGATATTCGACTTAAAATTAGGAGAGCATTGTATTTAGACACGTGATCAATGGTCTTAAATCTTTCCCACGAGAACAGATGTTTCAGAACTGCCCACTTCCTGCCGATCTAGTACGGTTAAACCAATGTGCCGATAAAAATTTTCCGGTTAAAGAGATGTCATTTCCGCCGAGTTTAGTCCGGTTAAACCGATGTCCGGTTAAGAGGGAGTCTACTGTATGAGAATAAAAATAAATGAAAAATAAAAATATGTAAATTGATTGAGCTTACATGATTTCATGAGTTGTGTAGAGAAACCATGGATAACCGACTATTTCAGACTACTATAAATATCAATATTGATCGAGTAGTAAAACAGTTCATATAGCTTGTGTTTAAAAATCCAAAGCTTGCAGGTTCGTTATTAAGACAGGTCAATTCAGATCCCAAGACAATTTTCTTCCAGTTATCAATTATAACTAACAAGTCAACCTTAGATGGCCGCAAGATATGTAGATATATGTAGGTTGAGGAGCAGAAACTGCTTTAACATTTATTTCAGAAATCAACTATGAAAGAGGATTTAAACACATTATTTGGATCAACAACTTTATAATCAATGCTTGTTACCTGAACATGAAGGCTGTGGCGGGCGGCTGATGAGAAGCTTCTCTGACAAAGTAGGCAGTGGTGAAGCTCCCTGCGGCGTGCGTGTCTGTACGCATTGTGACGAGTCAGCTCTTCCTGCAACAACAGGTTAGAGTTTGACAAACATGTTCTACAAATGTAAATTAAATGTTTTAAAACCAACACTTAGTGAATGTGTAAAAAGCGGTGTTTTTAAATTAGATACTACTTGTTTTTAGACAATTGCACCGTTTAATTTTACTACGACATGATAATGATACAAAGATCCATTATTATTACTTGCAAGACAGCAATGTCATTTAAGTGTGAATTTTAAGCTGAATATTAATACAAGGTTGGTGTAGAATGGAGTGAGGTGAACTGTGTAGCTATGACTAAGACAAACCTTTTCTTTACCCAGGATTATTTTATTACGCCCAATGATCCAGGATAACTGGGTCTAGTTCTATTTAATTGCAGCCTGGTTGTTTTATGATTCTAATCCAGTATCAAATAAAAATCTCAAATTTTTAAACGTAATACAATTGGAATATGAGCATCCTATTCCAAATGTTACATAACATAATCAAACGTTTGCTGGCAACATCTGGCATTACTCATTTCAAAATTTCCGTGTCACAGTGCAAAATAATAAATAGAAATTACCTCTAATACTGATATTTTCTCCAGGCAATGAATCAAGAATTCACATTGTATCAAAGTTATATACATAGTTTATTTGTTACTGTACATAGACCAAAAACGTGTTTCAATTAATGCTAAAAGATTTTAAGGGACACAACGACCAGTATTTTGTCCATAAATTCTAAAAATCAGCAAACTTCAAATGAAGAATTTGTGGGAAACAGCTAATGGATAAGAGCGACTTAGACAACCCGGGATAGAGCGATGGTAACATTAAAAACGTAACAAAATGCTAATGACATAAAAAAATAAAACAAATTTTAGGGATTGGAATTTCAGTCTTGCAATATTGTACATTTTGAGCGGTTGAGTAGAACACTGAAAAATAGAAAAAAAACAGACTTGACAGTTTGATTACACATCATATATCATACCAGCTATGATTACTGTCATTTACCATGATTTGGTATCTGGTAGTGATACCAGATATCTCTTATCAGTTTTTACATGTTTCCAAAATAACAAATGCTGTTGAAGACTGGAATAGTTCAATGGGTTATTTTTGAGACTGGATGGAAAGGTATTGCAATATCATCTTTATCAGTTGGATATGATGTTTACAGATATAGGCGTATTTAAATAATTCAAATGCCCTTAGTCATTCATCTAGAGATGTTAGTTGTTATACTAGTTTTAAGTGTTAATTTAGCTAAGTTTATCACTCATACAAGAAGTTTAATAGTTTAAAATAGGTCAAGAACAATTACCAATGAATACAAACACTTTAAGAAGCTAAATGCTTATGGAGAATAGTCAGACTGGAATTTTGCTGCCGAAATTAGCTTTGAGCGGCCACCACTATGATCGCTTGTGCGGCGGCCGCGCTACTCTCTCTTGCTCTAAGCCGATTCTTTGTCTCACTCTCGCGATAGTCCAACTAGCGGCCGCTGTGGGAACTATCCAAAATTCAAATATTTCCGGACTGAATTTTTTACAAAGGCATTGCGCTTCTTATAAGTTTTGTATTCATTGCAATTACACTAGCCTAGTGGTTTCAAAAATCAGAAAAAAATAATAAAACATGACATGTGTGTTTTACATTGTGTTGTTACTGAGTGAAACACAGTCCAAAAAAAAAAAAAGTTTTTATTTCCGCTCCTATGTTAAACCTAGATGAAAAATTAAAGAAATTGATGAACCACATTATTCTAAGCAGCAAGCAAAAATAATTATCCTGTAAAACAACACAGGTTTAGATTTATTCCTATTTAAAAGCAAACTTACATTGCAAAACATCCAACACATATTTTTCATCCAAAATCAAATTTAATACCAAGATAAGCCTGTAAGTGATACTGTAACTGTAAAATATATCACAAGATCTCAAACATCGTTTGTAAATTTACAATTGCTGGAAGGTGATGATGTTGAAGTTTTGTAAAGAATATTATTTGGTAGTAAGTAGCAAGAAATGTGCTTGCAAAGTGGCAAATAGAACGTGTTGTAACAGGTGTTCCGTTATATGCACAACATGTCTGCAAATATACAATTGTCATGACATCAACATCAATTTAATTTTTACGGCTTAGCTTACACCACATTCACAATTCTTTTGAAATTTGTAAGAGAAGCAGTAAAGGAGTAGAAATCGTGAGTAAGTCTAAATTTATAAATCACAATTATTAGTATAACGAGACCAAACAAAGATGCATTAAGAAATTTCAAAAATAAAGCCCAATTTGTAATAATTTATTAAAGCTTAGTTTGATATGGTTTGAAAAGCTTAGTATGAAACCTAATCATGCCAATGTCTGTTTACCTTTGATGAAGAAATACTTTCTATTATCGCCTAATGCAAAATAAAACTATGTAAAAAAATATAATATTTATTATTTACCTTATTCTTAAAAGTGACATCACAGTCCCGGCAGGTGGTGGAAAGATTCCTGGTCCGTCTCCGTTTGGTATCTTCTCTGAAGTGGCCCTTTCCAGGCCTCTTCAAGCCTCGACCACAATTCCTCAAAGTGCTTTTATCTTCAGACTTTTCAGGTAAAGACGAACCTGGGTTTTCATTTAACCTTATGGGTGAAGAATGTTCTAAATCATAAACACAATTTAAACGAGAGGTATCACAGGTAACAGACAAATCACTTTGATTATCTCCACTTAAGTAGTTATTCCGACGGTTAATTTCATTTTGAGCAAGAGAGGAGGGGATAGTTGTATTTTCTACGACAGTTTCAGTTTCTGAAGGAGCACTTGTAACTACAAGGTCTTGAGAAGATGTATCACTGCCCACAGCTGTGTTTCTATTTCGCCTTATTTTTTTCCTGACAAAGAAATTTTTGGGCATTTTTCTCCTGGTTTTCTTTGTTTGGTCGTAGTGGAATTCTCTTGACGATTCAGTGTTGTTGACTTCACAAGATGAGTTTGAGGAGTTGGAAAAAACTGAAGACTTGTAATCCAGAGGTGTGCTTGGTGATTCGTCTTCTGAATTCATAAATTTTGAAGGTGGTGGGTCAATTGTTTCAGATAAACAATCATCAGGGGATTTTCTTCCAGTTGGTGACTCAGCAACAGTTTCAAATTCATCTCTTTGGGGAAGGATTTCAACTTCAATTAGTGGCTTTGAAATGTCAGTAGTGTTACTTTCCTTGTTCAAATTATCCTTGTCACAACTGTCTGAATGATTGCTATCTACAATTTTGCTCTCCTCAGTAACCTGATCCAAAATGTTGGTTGATGATTTCTCGTCAATAAAAACATCATCATCACCATTTTCAAGGTTTGATGACACTTTATCAACACTTTCTGGGTTGGAATTCATATCAGAATCTGGATACACTTCTCCAGGACTGAAATGAGGATTACTTGGACTATAGATCTTCTCATTTGCCAACGAGTTGCTACAGCCAGTGGGTGAATACTTCTCATATGGTACCCTATCATTTTCATTTGTTTCATAGAATTTGTTTAAACAATACTTCTTTGAAGAGTTTGATATTAAATTATTATCAAACGAATCACTAAATGGTGAACTTTCCCTTGACATGGAGCATGGATTGCCATCACTCACATCAGTATCAGAGTGTTCTGAGGATTCTTCATCTTTGCTGTCATCACTGGAACTTGACTGTGAATTGGAAAGAGATGTGAATGTTTGTGATTGGAGTCTTGAGGTCAACTCGTCTAACTCTTTATTTCTTTTCAACACAACAATCGGTTGCCAGTTTTCATTTTGTGATATATTTTCAGTCAGATAAGAGTCAACACTCAACGTTGATTTCCCATCAATGTGTTCAACAGACGATTTCCTATTTTCATTTTCTTCTTCACTATCTTTTTCTGAATAACTACTGCTGCTATTGTCTGACTCTCTCTGCAGAATAAGACGGCTGACTTTGACAACTGGCGAAGAATTCTCATGATAGTCACTGATAACTTTCCATTCAGCTGATGGCGCTTTTAATCTAACTTCAACATTGGCTGGTCCCAATTCCAAACCAGATTTTTTTGAAGCCTTAGTTTTCTTCTTGTTTTTCTTTTCTTGTTTTTGTGAAATATTCTTGGATATATTAAATATTTTTTTCCAAGGTAAGCTACATTTAAGTTCAATTTTTCTTCCTTCTTCGGGGATTTTATTAGGAAATTCAGATCTATCGTCAAACTCTGCTACCTCCTCTTCCACAAAAGGCCAGTTCCCAATATCATTAATGAGATTTTCATTAATTTCTTCATAGCAGTTAGTAGTAAGAAGTTCTTCACTTCTTCCGAACAAAAGTTTAGATTTAAGTTCATTTTCACAAGCATTTTTCAATCCAATGTCAGGTGGACATATACAAGATTCATTGACTGATAGTTCGGTTGTCAAAACATCAGCACAATCAGCATCCCTGACTGATCCCAACATTACATCTGACTCACTTTTGCCATTATCAAATTGCATTTTACCAGCGTTTTCATCTAAATCCTCAATGATGATGACTAAACTTGTGCTATTATCCAAAGACACATTTGGTATTTCACTTTCAATACCATCCGTACTTTCTTTAAACAACGAATGATTGGTATCTGAGAGGATCCCTAATCCACCAACATAATCATCAATCTTTTCGGAGTCAACATGTACACAAAATATATTTCCTTGAGCTGTTGTATCTTCGTTAGCTATCAACAGCGGACCACCAAAATTATTTTTTGATTCATCATCTGTCAAATGACTACTATCGTTTGTCAATTGAGAACTCGTTTTGTAATCTGAAGTATTATTTGAACAGTTCATAGTGTTGGTTCCTGTGTTCAGACAAGGCTCGATATTTTCACAATGATTTTGTAAGCTGTCTTCTCTATTGTAATCATTTTGTATTGATTCATCATAGTGGTGGGTATTTGAATCAACTTCAGTAGCATCCTGAGTGATTGGTTCAGGTAAAACATCTGAAGTTTTTGGTTTATCTTTTGTATTTCTTTTACGCCTTTTAGTGCGGGGATATGCGAACACACTTTTTCGCTTTTTAGATTTAATTTTGTCATTTACAACTGTATCGGTTTCTCTCTGTTTCATCTCATGTGTAGCACAAGAGGATTTCACAGATTTAAAACGATATTTTCTTTTTGGGTAGGGAATAATATTACAGCTACTAGATGTTACGATTCTAGTCGAATCCCTCAAGTTGTAGTGAGTCTCTTCAAATTTTGAAAACGAGTCTCCATCAACTATAGGGTGATTATTTTTGATCTTTTTTCTGTCAAGAATTTCATCAGCAGTATTAGTTTTTGTTGAATAATCGAGAGATTCATGAGATGGGCTCTCACTAAGAGGTGATTCCACAAAGCCTTCATCTGACTGAGAATAAAGTCCTGGAAAATTGGAATTATTAAGTAACATTTGTTTTGAACCAACATGTTCTAGAGCAAGGGCAGCTTCAACTAAACACTGTAATGGGAAAGTTTCCTTGTTTAAATGTTGATTGTTTCTTAATGAATCGTGGACAGAAGTAATCTTTTCATTTTGACTCTGTGTTATGTTATGTGTCTGATCATCGTCAACACCATCATCAAATGACATGTCACTGTTGTAAGTTTCTTTGTGGCTTACATTGTTGTTTAGAGCTTCATCATCTTGATCATCTACTGGTTGAGTTGTCGAGAACAAAACATCCTTTCCAGTAACCAGCAAAGTTGCATTAGTATCTTCGTTTGGCGCATCCTTTGTTGAAATGTCATTGGTGTTGGAATCATTACAAGATACGTTATCACTGGTCATATCTGTACAGCTAATTGTAGATTCGTTGGATACATCCTCATGGTTAGGAGAAAGTATATCTCTATCTTGACATAAAAAGGAGTTTTCTTCTGGTGACATTGGATGGCTTTCATTATTCAAAGGGCTATTGTGTACTGTTCGCAACAGATTTAAATCTTCAGAAGATGAGGTTGATTGGTTATCTTCTGTCTTTCCTTTCGATTTTTGGTCATGAGCAGATTCTTCAACGCTTCTGTTCAATAGGTAATTAAAGTTGTTCAATTTTGTAGAAAGAAAGCTGGGTTGATTATCATTTGATTCAGTTTCTGGCAAAGCTGGTTTCTGAAGAGCTGGTTTACTATTCTCTCTTAAGTTCTCTTTAAAAGAATCATCCATTTCACTTGGAGAATCAACTAAAATATTGTTTTTATGAGGTTGCAATTCAATAGATGAGGACACACTTATTTCATTTTGCTCTGATTGAGCAATCTCTGTTTTGCTGGGTGGAGAATACACCCCACTATTTTGATTGCTTACTTCTTGAACTGATGATTCAGAAAAACCTTTAAAATTGGTGGAGTCGTTCACTGAAGAACTGAGATCATCATTAGTGTCAACATTTTCACAGTACTGAAGTTTAGAGTTTTCTGGTTTGTGTTGATTGAAAATTCCTGGATAAGCATTTTCTTTACTTTCAGTATAATCACTTTCAGGTTCCGGAGAAAAGATTTCTCTTAAAACTGCTTCTCTTTCTAATATTTTTAGTGAGTCTCTTCTTAAAAAAACTGATTCTTTTTGGTTAAAAAAACAAACCTTGTCTTTCAAAGGGGTCGAACCATCTTCTTCTTCATTTTCATTAGGAGTTTCACCTCCTACTTTCACAGTGGACCTACTCTCAACTGGAACAACTGAATTTATGTCTCCTGACTTGCATAATTTTAAATTTACATTTTTTGGTTTTACTGATTTTTCTTTGGAAAGTTTTCGCTTTAAGTTGTATTTTGTAGGTAACTCATCCTTAACTTCAGAGCTAGAGCACAAGGGATCATCAGGTGAAGCAAGCGGTTCTGTCGATTCATGATCACTACAGTCACTAGCTGCACTTTCAATTGCACATGAATTTTCATTTAGCATAGGCCTCATTGGAATTTTACACAGACGAGTAACTGAGGCTATTTCCTTTGTTTCTTGATGCCCTGATTTGAAGGTTTGAGTTCCCTCTACATTTTCTTTTTTGGAACATAATTTATGAAACCTTTGCCATTTTCTTGTTTTAAAGTCATGGAAATAACTAAATCCATTGGTTTTTATGCCTGAGCTGGGTTCTTCTGCATTAACATATATACACTCGCTAGCACAATAAGAATCTTTCTTGTGAAAATTATTGCAAATAGCTTTTTCTGTTGATAAATCTAAGGGAAGTAGATTTCTTGATGTTATCACTGATGTTTTGCTATGCATCGAAGGCAGTATTGGGGTTTGGAACATTCTATCACCATTTTTAAAACCAGATAAGCATTTTTCTACTGTTGCCATCTTCTCTGTTGAATTCATTTCGCTCTCCAAACTCATTGGAGAACTGGCTTCTTCCACAGAAAACATACCTTTACAGATGTTCATTGCTTCATTTTTTAAAGGATTTTCCAAATAATGTTGTCTTTGGTCTATGTTTTTTGTGACAGCATAATTTATTACCTCATTTATAATATTTCTGACGTTCACAACTGATTCTGAGTAGTTTCTGAATGATCCTTGATAGTGGGGATGACTATTTTGGAAAAGCTCATGATCATTTTTCGAAGAAAAGTAATTAAATGTTTCATTCCTTACTATTACAGAAGTTTCAAGTCGAGACTCTTTGTCTTCAACTGCATTTTCTTCATCGGATCTTTCAATGTCCTTTTCAATACTACACAATACTCCAGTGTTACTTTCGTTAGCAGTTGATGGAAGGACGTCTTTACTTTTGCATGGTTTCTCCAAATTATTAGAATTGTCATTTTCAATTAATGGTGTTAGTTTATCAGTAAAATTGGTGGACTCTTTGTTGTTCGAAGATTGTTTCAGATTTAGGGAATTTGCCCCTGATTGTTGGGAATCTGCTAATGGTGAAAGCTGATCTTCGAGGCAAGTTTCATTTTCTGATGATTCCTGAAGATAATGTAGGTTGTTTTCAGCCAAAACGTTAGAACATTCGGTATGATCACCTACTTCTTGGACAGATTTTACATTTGATAGTCCCATTAATTCAAGAGCATCATCTATTTCCGTGCTATGTTGGTCGGCAGCATGATTTTCAACTTTATTATTAACTAAATCTTCAATAGAAAATATTGCCTTGCTTTCATTTTTTGAGATTTTGTTTTCATCAACTGAAGGAGTCTGGTCAGCATTACAACTTATTTCACATTTAGCACTCAAATCAACATCCATGTTTTCACTGTCATTTACCAAATCAAAACAGCCAATCTTGTTTGAATTACAAGGAGACTGCAAATCTTCGAAGTTTAGTAGGTTTTCCCCTTGACTAGACACAATTTGGGCAACCTCAATGGGTTCATCATCTTCCTTTCCATGATCCGACATAGGAGAAAATATAGACCTAGCTGGTCTCCTCAGATGAGCTACAATATTGTTTGCAGACGGGACTAGTTTTATTACAGAATTAATTTGATAATATTTCTTTTCATTCTGGATGAAAAGCTCAGTTGTCTTCACAATACTTTCTTTTTCTTCTACAACCGGCGAAGATTTGTGTTCCATGACAGACTTAGAAGTACTTAAATTAAGGGCGCAACTACTTGTAGAATCCACTTCACAACTATCAGCATCAGAAGGATTTTCAGTGAAAGGCGCAACATGAGCAACATTGTTTCTTACTGTTTTACATCGGTCTGTGATGGATTTTGAAATCAAATCGTTGATTATGTCTTTGGCAATCAAATTTGCTTCCTCAGTGATTACAGGGAAATGAGTTCCGTATTGATCAAACACTAAGGTTTTGCCCAGTGTAGTTTTAAGTCCACAATACAAGTTCAATTTTTCAAAAATCTTATTTTTTGGAAAATATTTTGTTATTGTACGACATTTGTTTTCGTTTTCTTCAGAAACTTTTTTGTTAATCAAAATAGCTTTTGAACATTGTGAGGATTGCTCCGTGAAAATGCTTTCTGCCAGAATAACACCGTTATGTATTGGAAGATGTGAGGTACATTCACTATTAGTTTCACTTGACAATAGTTGATTTATTTCTGAAAATGTCTGAGCCTCTCTAAAATAGTTTGCCGATGACCTTCTCTTTTCCTCATCTATAGCTTGAGCTAAATCCTTTTCAAGTTCATTAGCAGCATCGATATCAAGAGTTTCATGGCTTATATTTCTGGATCCATCTGAAAGTTTTTCTGTACAGTTATCCATTTGCTCATTTAAATTTTGATTTTTGTTTGCTATACACCACATTTTCTTTGATTCGTTCAATTTCAGCTTTAAGCTAATTGGTGGCATAGGAGGTGACTTTTTGGAATCATCTGATTTTCCGTCATTCAAATGGTCATCTGTTTTATTGAACACCTCATTGTTTGTATCTAGGATGTTTTTGAGACATTTTTTATCATTCATTTGAAGGATGGATCCATCTGCTCTCTCGCTTCTGTCAATATTATCAGAAAAAATTGTTGAAAATGACTGAAAATGTGTATCATGGGAGTTTATATTTGAATCTGACAAGTCTGGAAAATCACAAGTTTTAGTTTGGTATAGATTATTTACATTAGAGTGGTTTATGTCCTCAAACATTCCTTCTACACTTGGAGATGATGGCATTCGGTTGTTCAAGTCTTTGTTGTTTGAAGTATTTCTATCATCGATCTTGAAAAAATCATTTATCTGTGAGTTCATGTCACAATCTGAATACACGTGAAAAGGAGAATAGGTTTCCTTATGGCTTCCCATTTCCTGAGAGTGCAAAAACTCCTCACTAGGAGAAGGTAGGCATGTTGGGATTCTTGCAGGGAAGCTTTGAATTTTTTTGTGAGTTCTAAAGTTTTCATGTTTTGAAATATCTTCAGACATCAGTTCTAAATTAGAACTGGTACTGGTAATTAATTTTTCTGGATCAAAACTATTTTGGTTTTGGCCAATAGATCCATTAGGTTTGTCCAGTTGATTATCATGACTATCATTTATGGACAGTTTGCAGCTTTGGTTGGATTCTATTTGATTTACATCACATTTATTTAATTTCATAGGTTGTACTATTGCCATTTGTGGTGGTTGAGCATTGTATTTATTACCTTTGTTAGAGTCATCCACATTGGAACTACATACCTTGTTTCCAACATCAGAAGGTTCATTAACTTTATTTTTAGAAAGGTTCTCTGCAAGAGAATCGCAGTTTTCTTCTTCTCTAAAGTCATCTAAAGATGGCATATTCAGGTTGCTACTTGTTAGAGGTGGATTCAAACAGTCTTTTTCCCCTGACACTTCACATCTTGGAGTGCTTTCTGAATCTCCTGTGTTGCTTTCAGGTGCAACTTGTGTTTTAGAATTAAGGAGGGCTTTGTTTTCAACTGCCCATTCCTTACTGTTAGGGAGCCTCTTCAATTTAAAACTGGTGGGTTTCTTTGCTTCGTCGTTTGTTGATTTGCTGGGAACTAGTACGTCTGGTTTAGATTTGTTTTTTCCATCTCCATTTTCTACTCTACTTATTTCTTCAGATAGTTCGACCAATGTTGAGTACTGTTGGACGTAGGGAACTTCTACTGTTATAGTGTTGCTTTTTGTTTGGTCGCCGGAATGAAGGGTCACCACATTGTCCTTGTGAGAAGATTTTTTTTCAGGAGGAAATGGAACCCTAAAGATTTCAGGTGGTCCATTCTGAGAGGTTATCAGTACAGTCTTTTCTGCAGGGTTTTGATTTTCATTGTTTATGACGTCCATTCTTTCTCTAATTGAATGGTTCTTATCAGAATATAGTTTATCTCTGCCAATTAGATCTGATTTTTTAACCATTAATGGAGGCATGAAGGTATTAGGATCTCCGTTGGGAAATTCACAGTGAACCTTTTCTTGGTAACAATCATTGAGTTGTGCTTTACGGACTGGATCTAAAAATGCACTTTCAGCAGCTTTGTCCAGTTCTTGATGAAATAACCTCCTCGGATCTTTAGTTAAGTCTTTATTTGAATACAATCTGGCAGGGTCAAAATCCGAAGTGAGTTTATGATAATCATAGTTTGGATCCAGGATTTGAGTGTTGTCATACGGTAGGTACTTGTTTGGGTTTATCGGGTGTTTAAAATTATAATAAGGATCTGGATGTACTGGAGGCTTGTAATGTTGGAAGTTACCTGCAGAGTATCTCGGTGTAACTTTATTGTATATTGAGGGGTTGTTTCCCATTTGTGATTGCTGAAGCCTTGGATCGCAAGGTCGAGTCATTGCAGGTGGAACTTGATGACTATTCACAGCTGACTTGTCTGTGTTATTAACTAGTCTTTCAGTCATTTCTACAAAATCATAGGCACCATCACTGATTCGCCTGGTATCTCCGTAGTAAGAAACAAGGTTATCAAAGGACATACTGCCAGTTTCAGTACTGGGAACTTTGTTTGTTGGCAACTCACTGTGAGTCTGAGGATCATTTTTGCTATGTTCTACATTATTATCTCTTTTTGAGCAATCTAACGGTTGAAATGCACTGTTCTTTCCAGATATCCCTTCACCATCTCTCTCGGCCCCATTCCAAAAACTGACTCCTTTGTCATTGTCATTTAGAAGGTTTGGCATTGAAGGTGCAAATGAGGGTTGATTTTGAAATTCTGCTGACAAAGTAGAATTCTCAGGATTTTCATTTGATCTATTTGATTCATCAATACGTTTTCGTTCATTACTAGGACTACTACTTCTAGATTTTGAGCTACAGTTTTGGGAGGTTTTGAATCTTTCTTGTATTTTGGCAGCAGCCTCACCTTCAAGTGATCTGCAGTCAACCACAATATAAGGTGCTCCACTGTTTCCTAAAGCCAATGGTTCTGACAACCTCGTTCCTTCTTCCTCGTCATCCTCCCATGTGGCTAAATATTGGCGAAGGTCCAAGTCTGGTCTTTTCTTCCCCAATGAAGAATCATATTGAAGGTTCGCCTTGCGTGAGTCAGAAATGGACTGCCCGTCGTCTAACCCAGCTCTAATATACGGATCTCCAGTGGGAAGAGCGAAATTCATAGAGTAACTGAGTTCATTAATGGGGTTGCTGCAATTCATCATACTTCTGTCACTTCCTTGCATGGCATACTGCATTTGGTGGGGATGATACTGCTTGTCACTCGGTATTTTACAAGAGGTGCCATTTTGTGAAACACCTGTTCCTTGAATCTTATTGACCTCACCGAAAGGTACAAAACCTCCTGGGTACCCAAACTCGTAACAACTTTGCAGGTTCGGATCCAAAACGGACCTTTTCGGTTCCGGGACAGGTCTAATTATCTCGGACCCACCACTAGAACCGACCATTCTGTGGCGTTGAGTACCTAACGACTTCTGTGTTGCGTCCATGTAGTGAGGATCTGTCATCTTCAGTCCCGCTTGAAGCTGAGCTCCTTGACTGACAGACTGATGGTAAGGTGGTGGGGGACAGTTCATCCTGGGACCGTAGCTCCTAGTACTGCCCCAGTACGGTGGATACATGGGATACTGAGACCTCATCATCTGCTGCATCTGCTGCCTACTGTCGGGCATGAACTGACCACGACTCATGAACTGGGAATAATGCCTGTCTGGAATGCCTGCAAAACTGTTATCAGTGGGATAAGCCTTCTTCCTCGACAGAGTCGGTTGCATAGACCTCCTGTCTGTGAAGTACTGCCTCGAGTCATCATATCTGGGTTGTGTCGGCTGATACCTCAAGGGAGCCGGGTTGAGGGGATATCTGTCTTGGAAGTGTTGGCAGCATGCTTCTTGACATTTGACCATGGGGGTGGGTACCGGCTGGTGAGGGTACTGGGGGTAGTTGGCATGCTTGGTACTTCCATCGTACGGCCCCATGAACATTGCCTGCTCTCCACTACCGTAGTACATCCCCTCTAGCTGGGAGTTGTAGCTACTCCAGGTTGAGCCGATGTTATGCTGCTTGGCAGCTCCCTCTGTTGTTCGTGATGTTTGCCCATGGTTGCTGTTGAATCCACCCCCACTCTCTGCATAGTTGTTTAACATTTCGCCCTTTGTTCTTCATTAACTGCAACAAAAGAGATGAATATTAATTAGAGTTGATTAATATTTTGGTAGAGGTTATTAGTCGATTGAATTAAAATTAAAGTTAATAACATTTTTTTGGAACATTTTTCACACACTGAAAGACAATCTCTCTGAAAAGGTAAAAAAGCCTCATTATTGTTTACTTACTGTGAAAATAATTGTAAACTGAACATGAAAATTGCTGTGACTAAGTACAAGTAATCTTAAAACTAGATTTTGATCAATTTTCATTTCAAACAGCTGGCCCGACAGAAGTCGTCATATGGTTTTATGTCAAATGCTCGTTCACATCGCTCAATCACGTCCTGGTTTTAAGTGTTATAAGACGTTTCTTTTATTTACTTTCCGTGCAATTTTTTTCAGTACCTACTTATTTTATTTTTAACAATAAAAATAACCTATCTCTTTCTAAACAAAACTGCTACCTAAGAATGATGAAAAGATTATTGATTTTAATTTTAATTTTTAATTTTCATTAAAATTTTAAATTTAAAAAAAAATTAAAATTTTAATTAAAATTTTAATTTTTTAATTTTAGTTTCATATGAAAGAAAGTTTTAGCTCATTATGATGTCTATTTTACCAAGAACATTCATAAACTAATACTGTTTAGGTGAAATTTTATAACAAATCTGTAAAATTGTAATTTCCTAAATATTTTTTTACAAAAAAGGGCTTAAGTTTCTCAAAGTCTAATGGGGAAAACCTGTTGCAACAAACAAATAAAATATACTGCAGTTTTTAAACAGTTTCGTGGTAAAGGGAAATCTAGGTACGTTTTTTAGCCAAGCATCCATTACAAATAAATAAGGGATACTTAGATTTATGCCATGAAAAACTTTCATGACAGTAACTTTGATTACATGTTTAAAGTCTAAAACTAAATAAAGGGATATGCCATTAAAAATATTCATCCCTAACAAGCAATCTACAACAATCAATTTATTCTTCAAAAGGATAATATAGGAACATTATCTAATATTTATTTTTCTTCTCCATAAGAATATTAAACTTTGGTCCTACCATATAACATATTATTTACTCAATAATTTAAGAATAAATGGTATGCATTCACACGCAATGTCTTTTTAAACAATCTTTTTAAACTTTCGTCAATTACCGTAGGCAGGTTTACAGGTTGTTCAAGTAAACTTGACACACATTTATCACGGCAGCATCAATTATTACCTGGGCTGAATTAGTTAAAGTCAATTAATTGAGATGACTATCAGTTATCTAACGTATGATCAACTCCACCCACTGACTGCATGTCACAGGATAGTTGGTGTCAATCGCACAGACGCGTCCTGTTGAGGTAAAAGCTTCAACAGACTTTATAAATATTCATCTGCAGCTTGTACAGGTTTACCAAAAACTGTATGAATTTGCTTTGGAAAGTTTTTTGTTAAAGCTTTGACTATCGATGCACCTACATTCCACTCTCATCTTCAAGTTTTTTTTTATAGTTTTGTCATAGTTGATGTAAGCCACTGACAGATTGCCCTAATGTAAATTACTAAGTCAAATACACACACATTTTTACCAAGTCAAACTGATTAAACGACTTATTGTGAGCTATAGCAACTGTTATGACCTAATATATACATCAGTAAAAAGGTAAAAATAGAATTTTAGACACTAGCGCATTCTGTGACTGGCTCAAAGAAAAATGTTCTTTGTTGATAAAAATTGCAAGATAGATGGGATGTTTACATCAGTATCCAATAGCTAGGGTTAAAGATTTTAAAGTAAGTTTTAAGATAGATCAAGCTTTTTGTTTCATAGGACCAAGGCCACAATATAAACATGTTCATATTAATTGACTTTATGACTCTTATATAGTTTTTTTTTAAAGATCAACAATAAGTGTTATGTGCCTGATTTAAGGGGCAACTCACAAAGCACCAACCATCTGGTCTTTTCCCGTGAGCTTCTCTGACAAACCTTTACAGACCGTTGAGCTATTGGTTGCACAGCTTACCTAGCCAGATATGGAACTTGAACCCACAAACTATGGTGATGTCTTCAGGTTTGACACCGCTCGGTCATTCATCGGACAAAGCATTATACTGTCTACCACACAAACACTAGTCTAAGAAAAAAAGTTAACAGAGGAAACACGCCTATGGGACAACTGTACGCTTTTAGATACTTGTGAGCCCGAGCCCTTACTGATGGAAATTCCTATCGCACTGGACCCAGGGTCTTCCTCAACCATAATCGTTGTAGACCATGATAGCAAGGAGGTGGTGTTGGACTTTGCCCTAGACACTAGTGCTAAACACCACTTAAGTGTACTTTTGCTTGTTTTTTCTGTACCTTAACAAGTTCGCTGCGAGAATTCCTTTGGCAGTACGGTCGGAAATGTGACGCAGCCTAGGCGCGCCAGTGAATCAGCGAACGCAATAGCATTAAAATATTTCAGTCTTGACAGTGGCAAAACAGCGGTGGTGATGGTGCTGTGTTACCCCGAGAGTGGACGTAAGTTCACTGAAAAACTCACAGATAGCAGCACTGCCTGGATCCGTAGCCAGTGTCTTTGTAATGTGGCTCGAAGAGAAAAAGTAGAGAAAAAGAAGAGAGTAAAGTATAGGACCAGCACAACATGCTGACATAGTTTAGTTGATCCCCGATTAATGCGGAGGTCACAATAGACCAACTTGTATAACACTGCACCGTGACTCAGACTGGAGTCGTACGCACGCTGTGCCAGTACGGCATGACTCCGATCGGAGTTATCAGCAGCGAACGTGTCAATAATTCTCTGTGCATTAGTCAACTAAAAGCACAAGCATAGTAACCCTAAACTTCTAGCCTACCTACTGTCAGTGCTGAGGTAACTCAAAGCCCATCTTAGTTCCCATGTTATAGCCAACATTACATAGTCTAGCTTTCTACTGGTTTTGTTGAGTTAATACTTCTGTGGCATCAGCTGCTGTAGGCTATATTCTTATTTTATTTTAATATTTATTTTGCAACAGATGTTGGGTTGCTGTTAAAATGTTTTGTTATGATTCTGTTGGGATGTTTTGATTCATCATTCTTTGACAGTAAAACGTTTTCACTACGGTATATTCTTAGTTTAGATAGTGGTGTGTATTATTTTATGCAGATATAACATCACTGTATACTGGTGATCCCGAACTTCAACAACAACAAGAACAATATTCCTTTCTCAATAATTACCAATATCGCTAGAAGAAATGTAAGCTCAGTTTGCAAATCAATGAGAGCAACAATGAACTTTCTACCTACGTTAAGCAATGCAACGACTCTGGTAACATATCTGTTCATCGAGTTGCAGTAAAGCTTCTAAAGTAGATGTATATTAGAGATATGGTATACAAAAGTGACTGTTTCTATTGTGATGGAAAAACAGGAATTTATTTTATTTGAAGCTCAGCTTAGTGCATTTGAAAAGTTGTTTTGTTAATTTGGAATGCAAAAATTAAGTACAGCAATCCCAAACTTGACTACCAAGTTATAAAATATGTCAGTTACAGTATAGCTTCCAGCCATTTTTTTTTTTTAGCTAGTAAGTGTAAGTTTTATCTTTGACTATCAATACAAAGTTTTATTATGTTAAACTTGTGTTTGATATATTGTTCGTAGAAGCTCAGAGGGTTACTAGTTACTATAGTTTCTCATTTAAATTATATTCATGCGAATGATGGATTTGTTTACACATAAACTTGATCAACAATTTTTTTACACAAGAAATTATAGCTCATATTTTTTAACATATCATTCAAAGCTTAATTTGTATCAACTTTAATCAATGTTTAAACACATAAAGCACAATTTGTATCATGCATGAACAAATTCTACAAAAAAATCTTTTGGCAGAATATGAAAATTGTAATTAGTACTATATAATGACAAGTTTGAAATGCTGCAGATTAACAAACAGCTACCTATTGCTTTATAATTTCAAATTAAAAATACAGAACTAAAATAAATAAGAGATAAATTATATGGACAAGAACATTCAATATTAACACTCTTTTCTATCTAAATGGGATCAATAAATATTTCATTATCAGCGCCATTAATGTTCATGATCTCATGTTTTAGTTGTTTGAATTATTCAATAACAAAAGTTTTCAAATAAACTACCACAAGGTAGTGGACATAGTTCATAACACACTTTCTTAAATTTTGTTTATATTTTAACAGTATTCATGATTATATTCTCAAAATAGCCTATACCGTATACCTTAAAAAATACTTTAGTAATAATTATTAAGTTTTATTTTTCAAAATATTTAGTTTGCAGAATTTTAGAGTTACATATCAAAAAATGTTTTAAACGACCCTAGCAGTATTGGTTTAGTCACTGGACACCAAAAGAAATAGTTTAAATAGGCCCATATTGTCATTCTCTTCATGATTTGATAGTCAAATTTAGTTTATTTTATATTAAAGACTATCCTATAACGGTCTAAGAATATTTCTAAAATATATCCTAATCAAAGGCCACAACTCTTATTTTGTATATGGCTATAAATTAATTATGCTACCTAAAAAAGGTCGACAGATAGTAACAAGACCATAAACACCAAAATAAATAAACATTGCTTTGATAGTCAGTAAGAAAATTGAAAGTAAGAAAATATCCCAGCCGTAGCAGTCTAAAGCGAATTTCCATTTACCTAGTTGGATTTTTACTAAAAAATTCCCTTAAAAATTGCAGATTTATTTTCTTTTTAAATAACATTAACTTAAATGAATAGGTACTTAGTCAGGTTACTTGTCAGGGAAGGTAATAAAGTGTGTTTTTATAAGTTAATAGTTTAGTATGAGATAAACAAATTTGCTAATTTTTATCAAATATATCCCTAAACAAGCAAACTTCAAAAGTAACTATGCATTAAAATAACATGAGTTTTTTCTCCGTTTAACCATTAGGCACGCAACAACGCTTCAATGTAATAAGTTATTTGTCTTTTCAAGCTCTACAAAATAGTTTAGAAATAAGTT